TTGGATCAGAGCAGAATATTCTGAGTTTGATATATTTTTCGTAGCTCTTTGTGCTTGAGTGAAGGTCTAGTTGGCTGCATATGTTTTGTAATAACCTTTTTCAGTAGGAAATAGGTCAGGAAAAATCATTTTTGAGGTCAAGGTCACCATAAAATACTGGTAGCATCAAGTTGTCTAAATTCATGAATCCGGCTATAAGTCTTTTATATCTTAGGTCTTCATTGTATATTTCAGGAGGAAATTCATTGTTTGGGATTACGAGGTCAGAGATCGTAGAGTTGTTTCGTAATGGAATGGTGTTGGTGTTTTCTTAAGATTGTCTTGCTAAGGTAAAGGAATTGGTGACAGGTTTGATAGAGATGAAAAAGTAATATTAAGTAAAGTGTGTACTGATGAAATATCAGATTATTTAATTTTAGCCAATTGCTTGCGATAGAAAAAGTTTCATGATACTAGCGTGCCAGTTTATTTTGGTCTAAGAAAGCACCAATCATGCCAGAGAATAATTTAAGTGCATAGAGGTTTTTGCTTAAGAAAAAATCATCCTGTAGAAATCAGTATGTGGTATAGGGATTTGATCCTGGAGTGCGACCTAATGAGCATGTTATATGGATTAGTAAGAGATATTTTCTGTGTTTCATTGGTACCAGGTTTATTTCACGAGATATGCCTAATAGAACAGGGAAAAATCTTTTGGTTTTTGGGTTTTTATAGCTTCTACAGATAGCTATTTTACTGGGTTTGTTGGTAAAATGGCAAAGGTAAATAGGTATATCAGGAAATGCTACAGATAAAGTGTAATCTTTATTTTGATCATACGTTATCCACTGTGTTGAGGACTGATACATCAAAATCAAACAGTAATAGCAAGGAATATGAGGTTAATCATGCAAAATCTTTGTTTCGAACTGATTAAGAAGTTTTTTTAACATAGATGATGGTCTTCAGGGCAAAAAAGCTAATAGTGAATCAGTTGATTAGTTATGTTGTGATGCTGGTGTGAAGTTGTTTATAACAAATTGGTTTATTTCGTTGCGATAAGTATAAGGCTGGAAGATAGTAATATTACTTGTGTTTGAGTTTTCTTGATTTAAGTTTAATGAAATATTGCTCTCATATTTGTGAATAGAGAAGCGTTGAATAGAATAATTTAAGTTTCTACTCATGTTTAGGATTGTAGAATAGGTCAGGTAAATTCAAAATTTATACATTAAAATGGGTAATATATGTATTTTTTTTTTTAATATTAATTTTATTTTTTCGATTTACTTTACAAAAGGAATTTTCAATGTCAAACATGGTAGAATGATGGTCAAGCCATAGTTTTTATATGCGATTTACAGACCAAGGTTGATATCTTATTTATTATGTTTTTTTATTATTAATATCAATTAATACATTTTATTTTCATTGTTTAGGTAAAGAAGATAAAACAAAGAGGTGCATTTTGAATATACAAAAATAGATAATCAGGTGTATTTAATTATTCTTAAGGTGTGTCTTCATCATTGAGATTATTTGGTTGTTCTTCATCTGAATATAGTCTGTCAGTATCTGTTTCAATTGTAGTATGTAAGTATTCAGCAGAATTTTCATCTGATTGTATTAAATCTACTGCATTATGTTGAACTTCTGTATTATGTTGAACTTCTGCATTATATTGAACTTCTGCACTCTCATTTTCTAGATTTTTGAGTTATTAGTAGAATTTATTAATAGTAAATTAGTATAATCATCATTATTTTTATTTTATTATTATTATTACAGTCATTCTTTCACACAATTATATAATTGTAACATGGTAAATTGATTTTAGAATGTGTCTATAAAGGAGTTGTGCTGATACGGTATTTTCTTTTTATAAACCAAAAGATAGTTTGGTCCAAATGCTATTATTTGGAGGGACGATTATATTTATATTTTTTATTTATTTATTTTTTTATTTTGTTTTTCATTTTTTTATTTATTTTTTATTTATTTATTTATTTTTTATTTAATTTTATTTATTTATTTATTTTTTCTATTTTTAATTTTTTTATTA